TTTCGATACTCGCTAAATGTACCAGTCATTGAGGGATTGATAGTCGAATTTTCTCAAAACCATATGAGAACACGTCGATTTTTGATTGAATTTAACTTCGCCTTTATATAGAAGTTGTTTGACCTTGCTTTCACAACTTGGTCAAAGTGGTAGGAAGACTCAGAGGAACGCACCTAATCCGGAGTCCATTGTATGCATGACCATTTCCAGAATCGGACCGTGGACGTGGTACATTCACACCAGCTTTGTCTTGTTATCTTCGACCAGTCTTTATAGTTGTTGAAATTTCGGCTCGAGGTCGAAATTACAGATAATTTTGGGGAAAATTCCACTTTCAGTCCTCCATCACCTTAAGCGACCTGGACTTATTCAAGTTTTACTGTCATTTTAAAGCCCCATTTGATGTGAATATAAATTTTAGCAGAACGCGCTTGGTCATAAGCAAGCCTCTCTCTCTTTCTATGAATCCCTTCCCTCCTGTCCGCCTGGACCTGACAGGTCGGAACGAACTGATCGCGCGATACATCTACCAGCACACCGGCAAGATACGCAGCCGTAAACAGGTGTCCAGCCACATACAAGTGCTTGCACGTCGGCGCTCCAAAGAGCTACAGTCCCAGATCAAGGATCCGGACACCAAGCAGAAGGCGATCCAACACCTCTCGATGCTGAGCAGTGCTCAGATCGTCAGTGCCAGCTCGATCAGCCCGAAAGCGCTGGTGGCAGCGGCTCAAGCTGCCGCCGCCTCCGCGGCCATCGCGGCGGCTGTGGCCTCCTCCTCCTCCTCCTCCTCGTCCTCCTCTTCTTCCTCTTCATCACTCTCCTCCTCATCGTCTTCATCCACCTCCTCCTCTGCCTCTTCATCTTCCTCTATTCCCTCCGCCTCGGCCAAAATGGCCACCTCCGCGATGACGACCACCACGGAAATTGCATCAACAGAGCTGACCGCAACAACCACTACAATGCCGGTTAGCAACGGCATCGGTTCAGGAGGCTCAATGAACTGTGCCACGCTGGCACATGTCACTGAGGCGACACCACCTTGTCTGTTAGCAGCCACCAACTCTTGCCTGAGTCATAGTCTTGACCTTCTCGGCGTCGGGATAGGCGGAGGTAAGCGGCCGTCATGGCGAATCCTGGCGTCTGGCTTTAGCGGCCTGGACACTGTCAGTTGATGTAGAATGAAAATTGTAGATACGAAGAGAAACTTGGTTTCGATGAATCTCCTGAGATAACATTGTTAAGGGGAACTTCATTTCGAAGATGATGAAGAGATTCGTTTGTCGTTCTCACCAGATGAGGATGGATGAAAATCGTTGTACTGCAGCCTT